TCTTCGATCACATTTTAGAGCCATAATGGCTCTTGATCACAGTAGATTAGGCCTGGAAAACGAATTTTTGGAAAACAAATCAGGCCGAATTTTTTGCTTTCGACAAGTTTTATACTTAACAAAAACTTGCCAACAACTCTGGGAGCGTGTAAACCAACATTTCATACTTTTTATACATCACATCTGAAACAGTAATATGAGGCGTTGTTTTTATCATATAGACCTCAGACAAAATGCAGTATTTCACAATTTTTCAAGACAAATTGCACTCATTCAATATTTAGAACCGTACGAAGCACTCGTGGGCTTTTAGCAAAACCGTTCAAAAAATTCCAAAATCATTTATACGGCCAGCCGGTTCTCACTTTTGACAAGCGCCAAATTTTCAGTGAACATTAAACGAGTTACGCTTCAACATAATAAAGAATTTATTGTGTTTATTTTTTTTTTATTAAATGGTTTTATAACGATGTGTAATCTTAAAAAGCGTTTGATACGAGCAGCATTTTGAGTACTCCTGCAAGCGTTGTTTATGAACGACTGAAAACAAACTGCAAAGCGATTAAAATTGTAAGAGACTACTAACAATCAATAAAAGAAATGTAATTCGGTGAAACATTTACAGAGACAACAATTTTCATTCACGAAGACAAGTATTAAAGCGTCTCTAAAAATCCTGAGTCTTTAAGCTTAAACTTAAACCTTTTAGCCGGCTTCAAAGATGAACTCGAGGCAAGAAAACCGCTCAAAGCTTTCTTTCTACAGCCAAAATTATAACTAAATACTCTTCGGAAAGTTTTTTCGTTCTATATGTGGAGAGAAAATATCGACTAAAGGCTTTTAAAAGTTCTGTAAGCTTATATATACTAGATCAGATCATTGTCTCAGATCTTAACACAAACGTGCATAAATTAGCCTCATAAACTGCGCTCGACTTCATGAAATTAGATATAAAAAAAACAAACATACACTGTATACAATAATTACTTAGGCTTACCATTCGAGATGCAGCTCTTGAAAGCTATAAAGTAAGGCCAGAATCGCTTGAGGGACTTTTCAACCCGCATCCAGCAAGGTAAAAACGAAAGCGATGCATCCGAAATCGGATTTCCAACTTTGGCAACCGGCGCATTTCCCGACCAAAAATTCAATAAACAAACCAGCCATGAATCAAAGAAGACTGTTGATAGCAGCTGTATTTCATTTTAAGCATCCAGTGGAAAAAGACAGTAAAAAACATCACAAGTTGACAAAATACTCTGTCAGCTTCAGCTGTCAAAGTGAAAGTAAACAAGGTTCAAGATGCTGTATAAATTTTCTGCATGAACTCACCTGTCAAATTTTGACCAATCAGAGCATAAAAATTGGACGGTCGTAGAGCGTGATCAACGCGTGTCTATGGTGAGAAAAGTGAAAAGCCTCTGTCTTCCCTGCTTGTATTTTTAAATGACTGGCTGAATTTTCGAGTCCGAGATCAGTTTGAAATCAAAATGTTAATAGCGCGGGGCCATAGTGACATTAACACAACACTTTCTGTCATCATGTCATTATTTTGCTGCCGTTCTCTTTGCCTTTGTATTTCTCTTTCGCTTTGCCTTTGTCTGTTCATTCTAGCTCTGTCTCGTTCTACTTGCCGGCGTTTTTCACTATAATTTTCTCTCCTTCTTCTCGCTCTGACTCTTTCTACTTGCTTTCTTTCTTTCAAAACCAGTTGCGCGATATAATTGCGCGACGTTGCGCCATGCGATTTCCCGCCAAAAAAATCTCTACTTTCCCCTACCCCAAGAGTCCATGCGGACTACCTTCCACTACCGGGAAAGTCCGTACGGACGGACGTACGCTACGTCATAACCAAATTTTCTGGGATGGATAGTTTACCAAATTTTCTTACCCATGGTGCTCCGCTGCGCGCGCGAAGCGCGCGCGGGAGCTCCGCTAATATGACCCGCAAAGTTGAGATTCTCGTCAATGTAGACTCCTAGTAATTATATTTACGCTGTTTTCCTGATTTCATGATTATCAATGTTCAAGGTTTTATCGTCATTCTCTGCAACGATATTCCTGGGATTGATGGTTAGGGACTGGAACTTCTCCGGATTGGGTGCCCTCATGGTGAGGGTTGGCACATTAACGTGATATGTCATGTCGTTTTGAAACATATTCCACGTGCACAGAAGCGGTCCAAATGCAGTACCCTGGAATAGCAACGTTCATTGTTTTCCATTCACTTGAGTGACCATTAATTTTTACCCTGTTAAAGGGACTGTGTAACGATACTGAGCATGTGAGAACTGTGACAGTAGCCGATTGTTTGTCTCCTTTTGTCCCTTTTGACCTGGTTTTGGCTTTTCAGGCCTGGTTATGGCCTTTCTGGCCTGTGTTTGGCCGTTCTGACACTCTATATAACCTGACTATTTGCGAAAAAATATGTCATTTGTGTTCAGCAATCGAACTGTCAATATGGTTTACAAGAGAGTTTGCAGAAACTGTCCTATTTCATCGTGTGGGGCGAAGTACCTTGTCAGATTAGCTAACCATCTCGCGGATGTTCATCAGTGAGACCACATACAGCGAAGACAGTATTTACAAGAGGCGAAACTGCAACCTAAAGTCAAAGTCGTCGTTTACGAAAGTGAAGCGGATAATTCCGGAAAAAATCACTATCGCAATCCAGTACAGACACAAAAACGGTGTACTGCGAACTGTCAAGATCACAGAGAAATGAAGCCTCTTTTGAAGCAAAAGCTAAAAGACCGACTACAAAGAACAAGACAAAGCGCAAGAAACAAAGAAAGTCGAACTCTTGGCTTCGAGGCAAAAGGAAAATTGTGTAGACACGGAAGGATTATTTATTACTCCTCGAAATAGAACGGGAAAAAGAAACTGATTTGTAATAGTCAGTCAAAGGATTAATTTTCATTCCTTTTCCTTTCAAATCGCTGTGTATTTTACTCTTTTTGTTATTGACTTCTAATAAAGTTTTTAAAACGGGATCTCTCTTGTGGTTTTATTGGTAGCAATTATTAGTTGCGTGTTTTAATTGATCCTTGTTAAGTTATTTAAAATTGTTTATATAATAATACGTCAAGGTGCTCCCTTGGGTCTAGCTGTAGAGATCAAATAATTTGTATTCAACTTTGGGCTTGTGACCTCGCATATTAACTGACTAACGGCACGCAAGACCATAAGCTCATCAAGCGAAAGGGCTCAGACTACAATAGTTAGTCGTTTCCTCGAGATGGAACGGAGAAAACGCTTTTGTAATGGTGAGTCGAAATTGAAATAGAGAGTTTTCAGCTCCACTTTTTGTATGTGTGTATGTGTTTTGTTTTTATATCCGATTTTTAGCACTAAATAAGAAGACATGTGTTGCTAGGCGATCGCACCTCTTATTCCTATCTTTTTTTTAAAAAGACGTTCCACTTATTCGTTACTAGAATGGAGTTTATTCAAGAACCAAAAGAGTTAGGGTTTACTTTAGAACCACCTGTTGTTTTCTATAGAATTTTTATACCCTGTGCAATACTTTTTACAGAGTCAAGTAAACAAAGACTGACATTTTTGCTTGATAGGCAGTTTTTCGCTTCGCTGAGCTTCGACCTCGTTTTCATGTTTTGCCTGAAAAATTAGTACGATTTCGCATTCGCTTAACCTCCTTTTCCCTTCTTTTGAAGTAAAGATTTTTCAGTTAACCTCCGTGTCTTGGTTTTGTTTATAACCGATTTTTAGTGAAAATAATTTAATGATTAAAGATTTTTCATTTAGTATAATCTGCAAGGATAACACGTTCAAAATTTGCCCGCTTTTATTTTGAACACATAACAGTTTCTACAATATCCAATCAGAAGACTAGAGCAAACAATATCTAATCAGAAGACTATAGCAAATAGCTTATTATATAAAAATCACTTTTCTGTTTATAGATTATGATCTCAACATTTTTTGATGACGTCAACTCTAGGAAATTCTGACGTCACTTGCTCCTTGCCAGCTACAAATAAACTATGACATCATCCTATCTATATGACATGCATGACGTCAGCCAGCTAAAAATAAACTATGACATCATCCTTTCTGAATGGAATGCGTGACGTCATCGGCATTAATTTAAAGTATGACATCATCCTATCTTAATGAGATGCATGATGTCATCTGCGTTTATTTATACCACTCAAAAAGTTAATTAACTCCGCAAAGAAAAGGTTAATTCGGTGCCTTATCCACTACTGTTTTGTTTTATTTCCAGAACACATGATTTCTCAAAAAGTGTGTAATAACCCATGTTCAATAATATTAGCCACAGATCCAACCTACCCCCCCCCCCCCAACCCCCCACAAAAAAACTCCCACAGTGACTTAAGACCCATTAATTTCTTCTCCAGCCCTCTAATTTATACATTGAATTAATTTAGGCAATTCAATACACATAATAATTAGTTGTAAGCAATACAAAATTAATCATTCCTGTATTGTTAATTGTTTATGCAAAAATGACAACATATGGTACACAACTTAATCTAGTCACTTGTACAGGTATTTTATAAATTTGATCAGGGAAGGTTGTCTCCTATTTCCGAGTAAAAGTGTTGTTAATAATAAGGCATTCGAAGGTTCAAGTTCTAGCTAAATTATATTAGACAGCGTGCAAAGAGAGTAGACAGAGTAGTGTCCAGGCAATAGCCCTGGGTTGGATTTTATGATTGGTTTGGTGAACTGCATTTTTAACTTGCCTGGCTGGCAAGTAAAGGTTTTTAGGGAATTCAAATTACAGAAGAACTATAATCAATCCAATTCATAAAAAAAATTGGGGCTAGTCAAAATAGCTTTCAGGCTAGTGCATTCTAGGTACAGCTTGCCGGAATATCATGCTGTAAAGCTGACTTTCTTTGCACTCTGAACAAAAGACAATCAAAATTAAGGGGGTAGCATGGCGAACATATAGGTCGCGTAATGTTGAGCAGGAGGCAGTGATTTCAATTTTTCATCTTTATACGCCTGTAATGTCTTCCAAAAGGAAAGGCAGATCTAGTGCAGCATCTCAATCTTCTAATCAGTCACCTGAAGAGAAAAGAGGCAAAAATAGTGAAACGAACGAGGTGTTTGAAGCTCTGGAGATGGCGGAGGACGTCGGTCTGAAACTGCAGCGTGTGCTGGATAAATTAGAAAAACTCGGTAAGATAGAAGCGCATCTTAGCGAGGTCTCTGCCAGTCTTGCTAGCATTGAGGAGAAAGTATCTCGTTTAGATGAAGTTGTACAAGACCTGAAACAAAAACAAACAGAGTGGAAAAGAAAGAGTCCGAATTGGAAGAAAGTATTCAGTTCAACGAAGACGACATTTCAGACCTAAAGAAAGAGTCAAAGGAGTCAAAGTTTGAAATAAATGATCTTCGCAAGCAGTTATTGTATTTAGAAACCGATTCAAGAAGAGAAAATGTTAAATTCTTTGGGATTGACAAAGTAGTGCCGGCTTCTGAAGTTGACTCCCCAACCGAGGATACAAGAGATTTAGTGTTCAAATTCCAGGGAAACAAGCTTCGTATTGAAAACCCTCGTGGTAGAATCGAGTTCCAAAGAGTCCACCGTTTGGGAAAGCCTCACAATATCAGTGACAAACCTCGCCCAATTATCGCACGTTTCTTACGATATTCGGAAAAGGAAATGGTGATTGATCAAGCCCGCAAGGAGTTAAAGAGGAGGCAAGAGGACAAACAATTTTCGGTGTTTGATGATATACCAAAAGAACTTTACGAAATAAGGAAAAGTCAGATGAAAAAGTTCAAGGAAGCCAGAGGCAAAGGCTGTACAGTATATTTCAGCAAAACGCAACCAGATAAGTTTTTTGTTAATGGTAAAGTTATCACTGCAAAAGCTCCATTGACAGATTTTGTTTAGGTACGAGCACCGCTCTCTCTTGGTACCTCTTACGGGTGCAAATGAATTTGGGACACGCCTATAAAACAAGATACTGGTACCTTTTAGGGGTGTTCTCGACGAGCACCACCACCCCCCCCCACTTTCATCGGGGATTACTCCCGGGATATTTTTACCTTGGATACGCCGATTCCAGAAAAAAAAAAAAGCAGAAGTTGGATCATGGAATCGCAGGCAAATTTGAATAACTTACATGGCGGATGATCAAGTCGATCTTGCTCTAGGGGACATTCCTGGTGCTCGATTTAGTGAAGAAGAGAAAGGAAAATTTACCGTTGCTCACCTAAATTTTTTCCTAAAATGCAGCGTTATAAATCAAAATGGCAATTTAAAAAAGACACTGTTGGAAAGGTAGGTGTACATCATCCGGCTTCGCGCTATCGATCAGCTGTTATGTCGTTTACTTTCATCTACAAGTTTAAATAGCGGCTAACACACATGTTTTCGTACAAAATTTGCATTGTCAGGGTCAAGAACCTACAATGAATGAAAAATCTTAACTGACTGACGTTAAGTGCAGAACCATACTCAGCTTCTTCAACCATTGTGTGAAGTAACTTGATAATATCCGCATCAAGGATCATTTTCGGAAATGGAACAGCAGAATTAACTTTTTTGTATATTTTGTTTTAATCTTTCAACTTAAATATTCTAGGTCTAACTTACGCGTTTTTAATGGTCTTGGATCGAACAGCATAGAATGGACACCTCGACGCTTTCTTCCCAGGATGTCTGACGAATGGTGGGGCTCTGTCATTAATTTGCCTTATGTTGTACGGTCCTCTTTCCTGGTATTCCCCCTTTTCTAGGTTTGGAGGTACAGCTACGGGTATCAATAGGTTGAACTTTCTTGTTTCTGAATATTTCATCCAGTTTCCAGATTACCACCACCATGTGGCAGCAACAACCACTTTTTCCGGCTGGGCATACCCGCTTGTCACACTCGGTAGCTAAAATTTTGGGTTTGCCGTTTCTCTGAAATACCATTTTGACTTTGTATTTCACAGATTTCCTTTAGGAGGCCCAGCAAAGCGCTCTAAGGTAAATAACACCATCCTCGGAATCTGGACTCGCGCACACTTGGAGGTCGTGAACAAATGAGAGCATTCTGAGCCTTTTAAAAACTTGCAAACTCGGCAACGGCATCCTCAGCTTTCCTGGCGTTCTTTTCACAATTCTTTAGGTGTTCTAATGCATCAGTTGGAACGAACGTGGGAAGGACGGTAAAATCATCACCAAATGCTGCATCAGTGATTGGAAAGTTCTTGAAGTTGTTTGCTGCATCACTCGCGGTTTCTCCATTTTCCCTCAGTTCTTCTTCATTCTGTCTCGCTAACTTAACTTTGCTTTAGTGAAGCTCCTCTCTGGGTCAGTGTCATTTTTTTTTAGATTTTTCATTGCTTGCATGCAGGTTCTTGACCCTGAGAAAACATGCGTCTTGCTTGTAGTTGAAACAGCTGATCGATCGCGCGAAGCCGGATGATGTACACCTACCTTTCCAACAGTTTCTTCTCAGTACAATGACCATTTTGATTTATACCGCGGCATTTTAGGTAGTTCTTTAGTTGAGCAACGGTCACTTTTCCTTTCTCTTCTTCATTGAAGCGAGCAGCAGGAATTTCCCCTGGAGTAAGATCGAATTGATCGTCCACTATGTTATTTATTTCAAATTTGCCGCTAGGGCTATATTAAGCCTCACTTCCATGCAACTTTCGGGGTTTTTTTCTGGAATCGGAGTATTTGCTACTTATTTCCACACAAGATATTACAATTCACCTCACAAGGTGGGAAATGGTTTGCCTTTGAAAAGTGCAGCGAACGAACAATCGTAGTTTCGGAGGCGTTTTAACATAGTTAATCATTCGATCGAGTACAAAATCAAGAACATCACTGGTCATTATTTAGCAATTAATGAATGAGGCTGAGTGGGATATGAAGAGTTAAGTAGATCGAGGAGAGTGTTATCCACCGTGGGCGAAGCTCCGAATTCATTGTTTGCTTTATTTTTCATTCAAAATAATTCCTAGTTTAAAAACATAGCTAAAACATGCTTACCTGCATCGATGTTAAGTTCAACTTCGATAGTGTATGTTTAGGTTTGTCCAGCTCCGTAAATATTCTCCTAATAGCAGATGTCCCCCTCCGAGTTGTCTTCTTGTCTTCTTTTTACCATGTTTTTAGCAATTATGTCGCCCAGTTCCAGCTGTAGTTCTTACTCTTGAAACGAGTGAAATGTCCGCCGTTTTCTTTTTTCCACAACCAAAACAACTCAACCTCGTCCCCAGGTCTTCTCGGTAACGGTGCCTAAACCTGTAGCGTGCTGCATTTTTGACGTCATTTCCTCGCTAAACACAAAATTCTTCCAAATTTGCTCATCAGTAACTGGTTATGGTGAATTATGCGTGTGCTTTTAGCCAATCAGAATTGGGGAAATATTTTAAATGAATAATAATAATAATGGTCATTATGGTAGTTACTACTCCGTTGGCAGGCCTCACCACGTGACCGTCGCGCTCTATCGCAATGTAGTCACGCGTGTTAGAACTGTGGTATATTTTTTAAACACATATATGAAGGCAAGATAGCGATATGGCAGAATTATTTGAGCAGCTATTTGCATACAAGAAAAAACCGGTGAGATCTTAGCTTGCAAACATTATTTATTGTTTTATATATTAAGTCATTATTCAGGATTATTTTGCATCTCGATACTGAACTACATGTACATGATCTGGATAGTATCCGGTTCTGGGGTTCTGATCTGACGATAAATTGTGCCAATACAAATTTTTCGAGGCTTATATTCGTTCAGAAGGTTTAAAATTGCTTGATAGCAGCAACTTTTAAACATTTAAAATGTGCTTGCGGGTATTAACTTAGAGAGCTCGATGTGGTGTCCTAATGAGCCCGAGCCGCGCTGTGAGTAAGTAGTCACGCTGCGAGATTTTGCAGGCGCATTTAAACATTCTTTTATTTTTAACGACTGCGAGACTATAATTACGGAGAATTCCTGAGAATTCTCAAGAACTGCATTTTGAATTGCCTTGTCAAATAAAAACTCACATTATCCTAGAGAATTCTTGGGAATTCCAGAATGTCCGAGAAGGTGTGAAATTCTGGTAGACGAGCCCTTGAAAATTTTCGGTAATTTCCGAGAATTTTATAATGTCGATTTTCTTTGAAAAGTAGGGTCCAATTAAGCGCTAATTTCTTAAAAAATATATTCCACACCTGTAAAATCGGATTATCTCATATTATTGCTGAATTATATCTGTAGTTCTTCCTAAATTTATTTTATTTTATTTTAATCATTTTGTTAAATAGCAGCTTCAGTGAAAAATTAAAAGTGTTTGTGTAAAACAACTCGGGTTATTGTGTTCCTATTTTGGCGACCACAGCCAGAAATACACAATTTAAACGGAACACGGATTCTTGGCTGCTCCTGCAGCTGCCATGACGTCTCGGGGGAGGGGGTACTCCCTTATAAACACCCGGAAAACTATCAAGGATCCAAAGGCATTCAAGTGCAAGATGTCCGCCCGCCTCGATACGAAGCATTAGGATTTTTAGACTCTCCAAATATGTAAAGATATTTAATGTTTTCCCCAATTTTTGTACATTATTATTCAATTTTTTTATGATAGTTCTTTGCATTATCTGTTTTAAAACTTTGATTTTATCTGAACTTTGTAAACCTGTTTTACAGTTCTATTTGTATCTATTGTATCTCTATGGCAGAATATGGCCATGTAAATGGGGCCCTAATAAAGCGTATGTACGTGTGTATGTATTTTTTTTTAGGATTTTTTGTCCTAAACAGGGTCAGGGTTTCGAACCCTCAGCAGCTCACCTTTACTCAAATAATGGACGAGTACCCTAGCCCCTCCCCCTGGCATTACGTGCCGTTTTACTGGGGTTCCGGATCCGATATGATCCAATTCAAATCCTTAATTAAGCTTTCATGTGAAAATGATGCATGTTTAGATACAGTCAACTCGCTCGTCCACTAAAAGGAGTAAAGAAAGACAAGGACCACGTCTAGGTGTCAATTTTCTGTAACATTATCGCAATTAAAGTGGTCTGTCATTAATACAGGTGCATTTAGCTATGACGAACCTTTCGTCATAAATTTTAGGTTTTAACGCGAAAGCAACAAACATTTTAGGAAGAACTACATCATCATTCAGCCATAATATGAATTATTATTCATTCAAAATTTTTCCCCTATTCTGATTGGCTAAAAGCACGCGCATAATTCACCATAACCAGTTACTGATGACCAAATTTGGAAGAATTTTGTGTTTAGCGGGAAAATAAAGGCATTTGTTTAGCGGAAATTTCCTCAAAAGGAGTTGCGAATTCTTTTTGTATTTAAAATCATTCTGTAAAAAAGATTATTAAATTTAGTTTTAAGCTTATTTATGAACAAGTCAACTAAATAAAGTAACGCAAGACTTAAGCTTAATTTGCAT